TCTAGATTCTTTATGCCTTAGCTTTTCCTATAAAGTAGTATTTATATTTATTATATAGGTATTTTAACTAGTGTTAGGTCTTACTATATATATATAGTATAAGATACCTTAGGCTTAGTTTAAGGTAGATAGTTTATTATCTATACTCCTTAACCTTCTAAGTGTAGAGGTCCTTATTAAGTTAGTATCTAGTAACTAGTTTATTATAAGGCCTATAAAGGTAAAAGGTATATACTCCTTTTTTTCCTCTGTGTCTTATATATTTATTGTAAATATAGTTAGCCTAGAACACCTTGTAGTATAGTAGATGTTTTAGGTCTAAGTGTTTATAATCTCTAAACATAGGTTCTTTGTTATATAGGATAATAGGTTCTCCTTTAATATCTATATCTTAGGTCCTATAGAACAAGAGTTCTTGTTTATTTATATCCTTTAGTACTTTATAGAATACAAGGCTAAAGCTATTGTTACCTTGTGTTATAAGGTCATTAGGGGCTTATAAAGCAAGTGGTTTATCTAAATTATAGTTAGATATGCTTTTAATAGGGGATAAGGATAATAATAAGCTATACATCTATTCCCTAATTCTTTAGTTCTAGATCTTAGGGGGATTAGGATTAGTAAGATTATTATAGCTAATTTCTACTAGTTGCTTAGTAGCTCTTTGTTCTATTTTACTAGGGAGATAAACTTATCTAAGGAGAGTTTATTAGTAAGTTCTTCTTTATTAGAACTAGTTCCCTATACTTTAATAGTGTCTTAAGGGGTTAGTTCCTAAATAGTAAGTTATAGGGGTAAAAACTAGGTCTTCTTCTTTTTTCTACTACTATAACTTTAATAGATTATATACCTAGCTTAGTTATTTTATTTATAATCCCTAGGACGTCTTATTTTAGTAGCAGTTACTTCTAGTAGTTCCCTTAGGCTTAGATTTATATATATAGTTATTCCTTAATAAAGTTTAATATACCTTATATATATAGTTACTTAAGCTTCTCTTATACTATATCTTAGGCTTAGATTAGTTTTAAGATAAGTTATTAGTTATATTATTCTAAAGCTTATTCTTAGGTAACTTATTGTTTTTTAGTAACAGTAATAGTTCTAGTAGAAGTATTTTAGAATCCTTTTATTTATATAGTCTTAGTAAGTTCTAGCACTTCTTCTAGGTCTAGAGGTTATAGTTCTACTACTTTATAACTTTAAAGGGTTATATAGAGTTAGGGGTATATTCTAGTTAGTAACAAGAAGTTTCCTTAGTTCTTCTTTTTTGCTTTAATTTATTACTAAATATTCTTCTCCTGTTATTATAGGTTTTATAGTGTATAGTGTAGGTTCTATAGCACTTGTTTATTATATTTACTTAGTACTTAGCAAGTATTTTACTAGTATACTTAGTGTTTATTATAATAGTTCTATCCTTAGTTCTTCTGTTAATAGCCTCTTAGACTACTTTTGTTATTAGGTGTTATTACTTCTTAACTATAGTAATAATCTTAAGGTTTCTTTTTAGTAGAGTATTATTAAGTATACCTATTAGTAGGTGTTCCCTACTGCTACTGTTCTTTTTCCTAGGTATTCTTTAATTATATTAAGTTTAAGTATATTAAGTGTGTTTTATAGTTTCTAAAGGGTTATATCTTAGGTTACTATAAGAGCTATAATAATATTTTAGTTCTTTTCTTCTCTATTAAAGGTCTTGCTTTTTCTTTTATAGATATATTCTTTACCTTTAGTTCTTTAGGGTACTATCCTACTTATTCTTTACTGTCTTAATATATAGTATAGTTGTTATTATAGTAGGCTGTCTATATTAGTTGTTAATAAGGGACTTCCTTAGTAGCTATATTAGCTTTCTTAGTGTACTTTAGTAAGGTTTTATATTAAAGTTGTTTAGGTTGCTTATAGTCTTACGTATAGTGACTAGTCTTTTTGTAGTTAAAGCACTTAATAGTCTTAGGGTTATATAGTAGTTATTAATCTTGCTTATATACTACACTTATATCTATTAGTCTAGTATAGTGTCCCTAAGAGGTACTTATCTAGTTATTATAAGGTCTCTATTATCTATTAGATACTTTGTTTTACTAGCCTAGTAGCTTTAGCCCTTAGGTGTACTTTTTACCTATGTTTACGTTAGGTTGTCTAGTTTCTTCTCTCTCTTGTTGCTACTTATATAGTTAAGTGTTAATTTTAATAGTAAGCTTAATATATAATAGGAAATCTTTAGGGAGGTTTATAATTTTAACTAGTTTATCTTTAATATTCTCCTTAAGTCTTTAGTAAAATATAAAAATTAATAATTCTTAAGTAATATTAAGTCTAGTAGTAAGTCTTTAGAATTTAGCTATATAGTATAAAGTAGCCTTGGTCTATCTTAGGCTAAATAGTTCTTGCTTAGCTTATTACTTCTTATTAAGGTCTTAGAAGAGTAATAGCAGTGCTTTCTTAAACCTAGAGTATTTATAGAAGATCTCTTAGGTTTTTGTCTTTAAGCCTACCTAGTTGTTTATTATATAGTCTATTAGATAGGGTTTAAACTAGGCTAATGCTTTTCCCTTAAGAAATAAGGTAGCGTAGATAACTTTCTTAGGTTTATCCCTAAAGCTAACGTTATAGAACTAGTAGTACACTTAGACTTAAGTAAGGAACCCTTTTAAGTGTCCTAGGGTTTTATTAAACAGCTATAGATTATTAAGTCTAAGTTTGTCTTAGCTATTAACTAGGGTCTAGATAATGTTAGTAGCACCTTAGAGGGTTTTAATAGTCTCCTTAAGTTCTTATATCTTAGTTAAGGGTTCCTTAGGAATAGCTTTCTCTAGGCGCTCTAGTTTAGCTATATTACTATTAATAACTTTAATAAGTTATTAGTTATATCTAGTGTTTCTCTTAATTATCCCTTAAATTATAAGATACTAATCTATAGTAAGGATAGCCTTACTGTCTTTATTAAATCTTAGATTAAGTAGAATAGATCTATTATTAATCTTTATAATATCCTTAAGTTCTTTGTCTAGGGAACACTAGGACTTAGGGGTACTTATTAAGGGTGTATTTTTAGAGGTTAATATAGTGTTTTTACTATTAGGTAAGTATTAAGGTTAACTTACTTAATAGGAGTAATTAAAGTGTTATAGTTAGTAATCTAATAGTAAGGTTTCTACTAAGAATAAGCTAAGGTTAATACTTAGTTAACAGTAGTATAGGCTTACTAGTCTATTAATTACTTAGTAATTAGTTAGGTAGTTAATAGTTATAAAAGTAGCTTATATAGCTCTTGTTAATTAAATTACTAAGGTTAAATACTAAAAGGTATTTAAATAAATTATATTATAAAAAGTTAATTACTAAAGAGCTATAGAAGTCTGTCCTTAAGTGCGTCTAAGTCTATCCTATATATAAGTTTATTCCTTCTGTTAGCGTATAAGGCTATATATCTAAACTATAGCACCTGTATATTTTCTATATAGCGCCTATATACTAAGTATATAGCTTCTGTATTTCTAATGTACAGATCTTATCTAATCTTATTATTATATAACTTATACTATAGTTCTTCTATGTCTATAGGAGTTATCTTGTCTACGCCTATCTATTAGTTCTATATAAATGCTGTTACTGCCCACTAGTTGCTCTACTAAGTAGGGCAATATTGCCTATAACTTGTTAGGTTATAACACTAGGGGTATTTAAGGTTACTGTTTACTGTATTACTATATTTCCTAAGGGTAATATCCTTAAAGAAGTTAGTAAAGATAAAGGTATAGTAGTAGGCTACTACTTAGTTAGCTAGTTTTAACTTAAGCTAGGTTAACATTAACTAGACTACGTTAGCTAGTGTAGTACTAATATAGTAAAGGCTTTTAATCTTGTCTAGGAGATTACTAGCTATAGAGTTTTCCTTGTGGACAGTAGTAAGACAAAGGGTAGAGGATTTAGGGGTCTCTTTGTCTCCTACTATTAGTAATAAGAAGAGGGCAGGTTATTTTTATAGCAAGTAGACTAGTCACTAAGTAAAGTTAAAGCCGCAGATAGTAGTGTTAAAGTAGGTAGTATTATATAAAGGTAGTAGTAACAAGTCAAAGACGTCTAAAGGGATAGCTATAGACAAGAAGGCCTAGGCCAGGGGGCCCAGGGCCTTAGCCTTGGTGGCTAGGGCCATGGGAAGAAATTTAGTCTAAAAGGTGGCTATTAGTGTCTATAGTATAATTAAGGTGGCCTACACTAACAGTGCGTGCCAAGAAAAGTATATAGGAGGGAAGGTTGGTGCGACTTCCAGACGACCGCTTACAAGACAAATTGAATAATCGAATCCACAGACGATCATGCAACAACTGCGGTATCAATAAGCTGGAGGCATACTTCAAATAATACGGGCTTTAGATGGACAAGAGGAGATATAGTAAACCTCAAGTTTGCTCCGTGGATCGAGGGTCTGATGACAACATCGTGCATGTCTAGTTTGCCATTAGTTGGTGTTTGTAGACGCTGTTGCACCAAGCCTTGTGTGGGGAGGCTTATTAATCTGGCATCGAGTTCCTAGCCATGCGTCGCCGTGGCGAATGTCGCCTGCGATCGTCTCAGGAATGTCCGGCATTTCCCATGAGCCCTTAAGGTCGACTCTGGGTAGCGTGTAGCTCGTGCATTGCAGGAACCGGGCTTTTGGAACGGATTCCGCGGCGACCCGGTCTCTTCGGCGCCGAGACTTATTGGAATGCGGATGATGTAAGCCATTCCTGGTATCTTTCGGTGCCGAAGCCCGTGAATTATCTAGGAAACAAGTTTCTCATGAACCAGAGTGAAAGACAATCTCAATAATAAGTAAATAGCATAAAGATATTTCCGACACTGGAATCGTGCGCAGAACAGAAGAGACTCGGCGGGACTCAACGGCAATAGAGCTGCCGATCCGGTCGGTGTTCCCGCCGTCGCCGCATTTATTCTCTGGTATGAACTTTAACCAAGTCCTTGACCTTCTATTTGTAAGAAACAAAAGCGAATGATCAGTGGGAGGCTTGAACTCCCGGCCTTGGCATTACTTGATATATCCGATCTCATATATTAGTACCACGCTCTAACCAACTGAGCTAACCGACCTTTGGACTGTGTTTTTCCACCTCCTCCGCGCCACTCTTGATTCTCTCCACAGGTTCAATTTGCTATCGCTGGTTTGACTCCTCGGCAGCTAGAGCTGTCATCTCTAATTCGGGTGATGGGTCGAAATGACTCGAGAGTACCAATGTGTTTCAGCTTACTCAGGCAAGATCATACAGGAAGTTTGGTTCCTGTCATCCCCAAGAAGGATTATCCTTTGATGACATTGTTGTGACCTATAGATCCTATATAAGGCGTTAGTTGCTGCTCTGCGACTAAGGGCGTCGTTTTTAGCATGACAGACGTTTTTTCTCTAAATTGAGTTTTAGATTATTCTCCGATGGGTCTTTACTCCGACGTATTGAGTCCCGGCAAACTGCGTAAATGTGCAAGCAAGAGCATTATTCCAACCATTTACGAGAATTTTCCAAGCCTCAAAGTTGAACTTAACATGCGCCTTTCCGATGTGTCAACGGAGGAAAAGATCACTGTCGATGCCCGACATCATACTATCAAACCGCAGGCTGTTCATGGCCGAGGCCTTACGGGACACACTGGCTGTAGTACTCGTTCGAGGCCTTGCAAGTACCGGATGCGCACGTAGTGGCGCCAGTCCATCCTTGGCCGCCACACTGCCCGTACAAGGGCGCAGTGGAACCGCCACCGTTGGAAGGCGGTGGGATCGAGGGAGGGTTTGAAGTAGGAGGAGGAGAGCTGCCGCCACCAGAACAAGTGATGACAGCGGGACCCGGGATTGAGTAAGCTCTGCCGCCGTTGGTGGGCTTGCCGGAGCTGTCGTAGATGCCAACCAAGATGCCGGGATGAGAGGCAGAGTAGGCGCCGGGGAAGCTGACAAAGTTGGAGCCTGCGTTGGTTCCAGAGCCGGTCACTCGAATCCTATGGCCTGTGAGTTTCCGAAGTACCTAGACGTGATATTCAATGTTCTGCACTTACTGTGCACATCCCATATAGAACTGAGCCTCTCCTTGAACTGAAGCCCCATGCAGAGCAATGATCTCGACTCGCAGGAGGTAGTCGCCAGGCGCAACACAAGATGGCAGGGTAAAATAGTGCCAACCTCCGTTGGAGATCATGGTGTCAACAGCCCACGTGCTTCCGCTAAGACCAGCTTCGGCAACCTTGAACCATCGCAATCCGGAGGTACCCGTGCTTGCGGCATTGTCGACCTTGGCAAGATAAACGATGATAGGACCTGAACGCAGTCACCAAGTTAGTCATGCCCTTGGCTACAGGAAACCAACAAAATGAACGTTAGGTGGAATGAAGCTGGCTACCTTTGTGGCTCGCTGCGATGGGATGGTCAGGATCGTTGCCACCTTGCGCACCTCCAATTACATGCCCCCACCAAGCACCAACTCTGGCGCCGGCCGGGACAGAGATGATGTTGCTGTCTTTATACTGGATGTTGTTGTTGCACGCGAAACCACCATCGTTGACATTCTGTATCGGGTAGTTGCTTGAAGGAGCCCGGACTCCCTTAAGAGCTCCCTGGTCAACACCGTCCACAGAGAGCTTCTGGAAGATAGTGTGGCCAGATACACTGGCCGCAAGACCTAAAATGGCTGCAGAGATCTTCATGGTACCAGAGTTTGATGGCTAGCGAGTGCTTTGCAATACTGAAATGAGGGTTGACAGCGAGCTTTTATCTCCACCACAGATCCTTTGGTTTAGATATTGTGAACGTCGACAGACGTAAGGTACCTCCAAAACAGATGGTAGTACAGTCACAAATGAATTAATAACCGGCAAAGCTAGACGGTATCTCACGATCCGTGATTTTACTTCTTCGAGCACTCGATGTCACGCACGCCGCCTGTGCCCATGAATAGCTGATTAGCGTAGCAAAATTTCGATCCCTGTATCGAGCTGCGACGCCCTCACGCCTCCTTTTGTCAAGCCTGTATCGCCACAGCTGACCGATCCAAAAGGGAACCTTTCTCACTTTTTTCCGAAGAAGGGTGGTAGCCTAATTTAAGCATACTTTCTTCTCTAGATCTCGCTTACCCGGTTGGCAGGTCGTAGTGGTTGAACCAAATCATCAATTCTCCCCCGGAGTTTGACGTCCGTGGACCAGCAACGCAATTTGCACTAGCGTCCCCTTGGCGAATACTTATCAGTGGCTGTCATATATTGACACAAGCAGATGACCTCGAATTAGAGGGGCTACGTCTTGCCGATAACCTTGCCCTGGGTGGCGCCTTGAGGACAGTACTGCAATTATGCCCACGATCTCTTTACCTGATTGAGCCAAGATTGGGTAGGGAGAGGTTTCTGGCTTTCCGAATCATCAAAATATCACTGAAGGATAACGTTTTCTTGTTAACATGTTATTAAACCCATCAACCAGATTGACTGGACGCTACTAGAGTCAGCCAATGTAATCCTTCATAGCATCGCCGATTGCATTTCGCTCTGCGCCTTTCTTGAGCAGGTTTCCTCCTTTCAAATCCTTATTCGTAGTTTGAATCAATACCCGACGGTAGCTCGTCAAAGCAGGCGTTCCACTATCAGTCACCTCCAAGACCAGGTGCAGCAACTGACCTTTTGACAAAGGCTGCCGGCTGATCAAATCCATGCACGACTTCTCCGGCCCTGGCAAAATCACCTTGATCTTCTTTCCTTCGGGGTCCAACTTCTCGATTCCAAGCTCCGAGACTTCATAATCCACTAACCATTGCGTGGCGCTAGGCTCACGATACTGCCACCATTTGAAGGTTAAGTTATCTCCATCGGGATCATATGTCTCCGAAGCGTTCAGCTCGATGAAAGAACCAGCTTCTGCTTCAAAACGCAACGGCGTTAGACTTCCAGAACCGTTGACAACAATAACCGGATGGTGGTTGGTTGCCACTAGACCGGGGTTGAGAGACCACTTCATGCGGGCCGCAAAGTCATTCTGGAAAGTGTCACGCCATCGCCAGATCGTGGCCTGGTTTGAGCGGTATGTCTTACCGTCGATACCAACAACAGAGTCGGACACATCGCTATAATGTTTCCCCTGCTGGCCGGAATCGCTAGCATCTGTCAGAGCGTAACGGCCTCCCCATGAGCCGTACTCAGGGTGCTCACGGTCGCCCAGGCCATTCTGAACAAGGTAAAGGAATGTCGGGGTGTCGCCCTCAGGTATAAAGAGGAAGTCCGGATATGCAGAGCCCAAAGGTCCGATCTGGATGTTCTCCTTGAGCCATTGCTTCGAGACCTTGGAAAAGTCCGGGCCACCCTGGTCGAAGCCGTAGTATTTGTCGCCAGAAATACCGGTCCAGGCGGCAAGACCGTACTGGTTCCAGCCGTGGATAGAAGAGATATAGAAGATATCAGGGAACTGGGTGCGGATCCAGGCAGAGCTATCGTCTTGGTCGGAGATGGTGTATACTCTCAGCTTCGCCCGTAACTTGGCCGCTTCTTCGGCAGAGTATCGGTCGCTGATGGTCAATAGGACCTGAGCTAAGACATTTGTGCCGCCCCAGACGAGAACCCAGAGTGATTCTTCTGAAGTAGCCTCGATTCTCTCGAGGAGCAGGTGTGCGCCGTCGGTCAAAGGCTTGTCCAAGCCCACACCGGCGAAACCATACACCTAATATTAGATTGACGTTAGGTGAATCAAATTCCCTATTCAACCGCATGTCTGACATACCGGTGGGCCAGATTTGACCAGAGCTCGCAGGCTGTCGGCTGATGGGTATGGAGACTCGGGATGCGTGTGCCTGTTGAGGTTGTCGACGGCTCCTGCGTAGGCGTCGATAATCTTGTGAATATCTTGCGGGCACACCTTATTTTTCATCCATGTAGATGAGACAGCTACGAGCCCTTCGGTTTGAAACTGGTTCGAGTAGAGGAGGTAACGGACGAGGGACTCGGCGTCATCCGGTTCGTTGGAGATGTCCGTGAGAACCAATACCCTTGGCTTGTTGGCAAATGCCTGGAATCTGGTCCTGTCCACCATGTTGTGAAGATTGTGCAATGTCGTCCCGGTTCGCAGATAATGTCAAATGAAGTAGGACAGGAAATCGGCTCTTGAAGTAGCAGGACATCTTGGCAACGAAACGATGTAACCCGCGCCTTTTAATGCAAAAGGTCTACCTACAGTGTGACCATGATGGCTATGGTGTTTAAGAATTCCTTATTTGGACGACCTTTTGCGCCCCCTCACTAGAAATCTGGCCAGGACCATGACCATAATCCGGCCAGCTTCTGGACGCGTCGAGCTTGTCCGGTTTGGGTAATATTAAGCGCCGCAGCTATGTGGAGACAGCACACCTCCTCCACTAGATTCTCAGTCTTCAGTTGCGTCATTTTGTTGTAATGTAGAAATCGGACGGATTGCCTCATTCATGTCCCTGAACTGACTTGCCTCACTTTCGTTTGCCTAGGCCTACGAGAGGCGCCAGCTTAGGATGGCTGCTTGCCAGAAACAGTCTCAGTGAGTGAGATGGGGTCGTGTGCTGGGCGGCGTAGATGCAATCCAAAACAACCTTGCTCTAGTTTTGGGAATAAGAGGCGTGCTTGTAAATCATTGATCAACTCAAGTCGTTATCTCTTGGATTTGAACAGCGACCACAATCGATTCTTAAATTAGCATACTTAATTACCCAGAGGCAATGCGCAGGGAAAACGGCGAACATGGCGACCCCGACTTCTTAACTCAGTTCAACCAGTCTCAGTGCTCATTCAATATCTAGTAGCTAGGTCCTCACAAGTATTCCTAATACCAAGTCCCAAATACTCTAAGCCCAGCGGATAAGCCGATGCGCTCTCGAATCTAAGCTTCTTTCGTCATCAGGACTCAAGACATCTGGGCTGAGAGCACCTTTCTTTTCGAAACACTTCAGAGTTTTTCTTAGCAATTATAGAGAGCAAGGGACTCACCATGGCTGAGGTATAAGCAGAGTACTACTTCTCATACCGAGAGCAACCCCACTTATCTTGGTGTTAACTCGCCGACTTGGGAATTCAGGACGAAAATGACTTTGGGAAACGCGAATGGCTTCAAGGAAGTCAAGAGTAGTGTTTCTAAGACTGCGCTCAAGAAACCACATATTGGCATTGCATTCTTATATTCATGTTGTCATCAAATGCACGGGCTAGCTATATCTATGCATGCATGTACGAACTCGGCTAGAAAGCATTGTCTAGATCAAGAAATACTTTGGGCATACTGACGTTGGATGGTTTTCTTGGAATATGATCTGTCACCACCGGATTTTGTTCTCATCTTATCTTCTGAAACAATCAAGTGTTAATAGCCTACGATGAAAATCCATATATGGGTGCTCATGGGTGTATATGTTTGTTACTTAGGTTTAAACCCTTTCAGTTCTGCTATGTGTCTGTGCTACCGTATCCTCTCAGTAGATTCGTACACCGCACTGACTACGGGCTGCTGGATAGGGGCTAGCAGGCTGGCAGAAACAGGGATCTAGAAGTGGCAAATGCAAGGGTTAGTCAACGTCAGCAGCAAGTTTGGTGGCAAGGGTTAGGGTTAGATGGCTAGGTGGGTGGCTAGGCTGGCTGACCGCCTTTCGAAATTGGCCTAGTGGGTGGTCTGTGCGGTGTACGAATCTGCTGAGAGGATACGGTACTCTTTACTACATACGAATGTGAGAGCGCCACAAATTAAGCTTGACAACGCCAGATCGCACTCTCTAGTTAACACTCATTAGGAATTTCGCCACCGAAGTGTTTACTTATTCGGGCATAGCGGATTTAGTGCTGACGGCGATAGGGTTACTTTGTCTTACCTCAGATAATCCTTCATTCCTTTATCAATGGCACGCTTCGCCCATCTAGGAATACTTGATTACAGCCTCCTTCATAAATGAGCTCTATCGGTGTAATTTTCAAAAGCTTCAAATTATTATAATCACGTACCCTTCTGAGCCTGCGCTAATGGATAAAGGCAACCCACCATCGGTGGCGGTCATCGGAGCTGGTGAGTGCCATCTAAGACGGCTATCAGTCAAGCCAGATGTGATATTAATGGAATAGGTGCCACTGGTATTTCCATGCTGAAGACGTTGCGCGAAGATGGTTTCGATGCAAAACTGTTCGAGAGACGCGGTGGCGTCGGAGGTCTTTGGTCGTATACTGATGATAAAACTATGACCACAGCCCTGCCATGTAGGTCTTGTTCTCAGCTGAAAAGAGGCCTTGATGCACATCTCTAATTTCTCTTACATGTAGCTACAACGGCAATTATCTCAAAGTACACTTGTGGTTTTACAGATTTCCCAATGCCAGATAGTAGGTCAACGTCCCGCCTCATGAATGTAGGAAGGAGGGAGTACGAGACGCTAACGCTCAAGCAGAATACGGACCCTTCCTGTCGCAGCGGGATTTTGAAGAGTACATGGAATCATATGCTGTGAATTTTGATCTTCACAAGCACATGGCCTTTAACACAAATGTTAAGCAAGTCGTGCGAAATACCAATGGGTCCAAATGGCAGGTCGAGATGACCAAGTCAGGACTTACAGAGGTGCAAGAGTTTGATAAGGTTGTTTTCTGCCACGGGTATCAAACGAAACCAAAGATGCCAGTTTATGAAGGTCAAGAGCAGTATGAGGGCCTCCTCATACACTCGCAGCAGTTCCGGAAGTATGATCCGCTCCTTTTTATCTTTTTCTTTCTCTTGTTTTCTTCCTTTTTCTTCTCCTTTTTTCTTCTTTTTAACCAGAGAACTAGCTAATGAGCCGTGTATCAGGCCAGAGGACTTGAAGGGAAAGAAGGTTGTTCTTGTTGGCCTGGGCGCCACTCTTAGTGACATTCTCTCTGTTATTGTTAAGCAAACGGACAAGGCTTACATCTCTCATCGCAACGGCGGACTTATCGTAGGCCGCTGGAGGAATGGTGTTCCCACGGATCTGCTGGTCACCCGCGCCCGACGACAGATGTCTTACTTCCTGCAAAGCCATTTCCCAAACCTGTCTAACAAGCTTGCGACACTTGCTTCCAGATTTCTCATGAAACAGCACGGCAAGCTTGATCCTTCTTGGCGTCTCGATGAGAATATGGCACCACTCAGTGTTCACCTCGCAGGATTTCTAAACACTACCGTTGAAATTCTACGGGAGGGAAAGGCCACATCGTTGTACGGCATACAGAGATTCCTTGGAGGGAAATCCATCGAGTTCACCGACGGGACAGTTCTAGATGATGTTGATGCCGTCATCTGCTGCACAGGCTATTCAGCAGACTTCGATCTCGTTCCCTTCATTCAGATGAGCAAGCCCAAGGCGGACACTTCTGGGAATCCCTACGGAGGACGCCCCATAGCACGATTATATAAGAACCTGTTCCCGCCGGCACACGCAGACAGCATTGCCATTCTCGCATATTCGACTTACGGCAAAAATAACGGATTTTCCTTCTCCGACGTTACTTCCATGGCTATCAGTAACATCTGGCGCGGGGTCAGCGCCGATATGATTCCATCAAGGCCAGAGATGGAGCGAGCCATTGACCAGCATCAGCAGTGGATCGCAGATCGCTGGACCCTCGAAAAAAGATCCGACCCAGGTGCAGTCAAACAGTGGGAGTTCCAGGGCTTCTTGCACAAGGCTGCTGGCACTGGCATGGAGAATCTTGGCTGGGGGTGGCGCGGTTGGGTCACCTGGTTCAAAGATCCGTACATGAGCTACCTGATGAACCACGGTGTCGAGACGGCGCATGCTTTCCGGTACTTTGAGACGGGAAAGAGGAAGACCTGGAATGGTGCTAGGGAAGCAATTGTACACATGAACAAGCTGGTAAGGCACTTGAAGCAAAAGCGGTAAGCTCAAAGCCGCCACGGTATCGGTGGATATTTCTGTCATCTAGCACATGCCCTTGGCTACGCTTTGCCATTTTCTGATTGTGCCAGCACGGAGACGATGATGTGAAGAGTAGACCGGCTTTCTTTAACGCATGGCGACCGTATTCACTTTGAACGGCAAACTAGACTCGATCTTGCTGTCGCTCTCAGTTGTGTTCAAATAGGTTTCAAACTCACATGAGCTTAGCGCTGACAGGCCATCCCGGAGATAATCATGCAAATTCCGGTGACACGGTGCCGACCATGTGGTCTGTCCACAGAGCTAAAAGGGTCCTCCAATACTGATGGCCTTATATCTCCGAAACTTCACATTGTTATAGCCGAAGAACTTTGCTGCAGTGACGGGTTATTCTACCCGCTACACAAATCGATGTGTAGGCTGTATAGCAGCCATCCACGTCATTGGCACACCATGCCTCCGCACTTGAAACTAACAATGAGCATCCATGTCGAAACGCCATGCTTGCCTAAATTCCGGTATTTATTTCCGATCCTATCTCCTATAAAAGGGCTTGAACCCTCTCGCTCTGTATTAGTTGACTTGAGGATTTTCAGACTTTCCAAAGAACTGCACCATAGCCCTTTCTAATCCGTCTTAAGCCAACTCCGCCAACATGTCGAACTTCCTGGCCCCGGCCCCAGAGCCACCCACCGAGCTAGGGAGGCTGCGTGTGCTCTCGCCCAACGCTGGCATTCGCGTGTCACCTCTTGCACTGGGTGCCATGTCCATCGGAGACGCCTGGGCCGATGCCATGGGTGCCATGAGTAAAGAGCAGGCCTTCAAACTTCTGGACGCTTTCTTCGAAGCGGGCGGCAATTTTATTGACACTGCAAACAACTACCAGGATGAGCAGTCAGAAGCTTGGATTGGCGAATGGATGAAGGAGAGGGGAAACCGAGAACAGATCGTTCTCGCCACGAAGTACACATCCGACTACAAGAGTCACACCCTGGGCAAGGGAAACACGGCCAACTTCACTGGGAACCACCGACGAAGTCTCCACATAAGCGTCCGCGACTCCCTGAAGAAACTGGGCACCGATTACATCGATATTCTTTACCTGCATTGGTGGGACTACACGACCTCGATCAAGGAGATTGTAGACTCGCTTCACATTCTTGTTGAGCAGGGCAAAGTTCTCTATCTTGGAATATCAGACACCCCAGCGTGGGTTGTCAGCGCAGCGAACACGTACGCTATCGACCATGGCAAGACGCCGTTCAGTGTCTACCAAGGCCGCTGGAGCGTGATGCACCGTGACTTTGAGCGCGACATCTTGCCCATGGCTAGGATGTTTGGTATGGCCCTCTGCCCATGGGATGTTTTGGGATCCGGCAAGTTTCAATCGAAGAAGGCCATCGAGGAGCGGAAAAAGGCCGGCGAGGGGCTGAGGTCTTTTATCAGCTCTGCACAGCAAACCGAGATGGAGATCAAGATCAGTGAGGCTTTGGAAAAGGTAGCTGAAGAACATGGGGTCGAGAGTGTGACGGCTATTGCGCTGGCCTATGTCCGGAGCAAAGCAGCTAACGTCATACCCATCGTGGGCGGGCGCAAGGTGGAACATTTGAAGGCCAACATCGAAGCCCTCAAGATCAAGCTCACAGATGAGCAGATCGCGTACTTGGAGAGTGTCAAGGACTTTGACGTTGGGTTCCCGGGCAACTTCTTGGGCGCAGACCCTAATATCACTGGGGCATCAGCAAGGCTCTCGCGTGCTTCTCAGATGTCGTTCCCGAATGCGAGTCGTCAGACAAGCGTTTGAGAAATTGTTAGAGAGCAAAAATACAGGTACAATGCGAAAAGATTGCGGTTTTCTGCCCAGCCTACGTTTGTCTTGTATCTCCATATTTCAATGCTGTCTTGTGGGCCTATTCTGCTGTTCAGCGTTTGTAATTGTGTTCCTGTCACAGATGTCTCGGCATATCGGGCGTAAGCCGAATAATCCTTGAACTTGGGTGCGTCTGGATGAATGATACCGCCTTGAGTCCCTGTGATATCGCTTTTGCTAGCACGTGAACTCTTCCAACCCAATTCATGCGCCGTAAGACGCGTAAGTGTGTCTCGTACCCTCCCTGCAATCGACCGACCAGGTCGACGTTGATTACCAGGTTGTGGCTGTCCTGGCTCGGAATCGGAGCGGCGAATATAGAGTCTGATTCGCCGGACGAAGGCAGCTATTCCCGGCATACAGGCGCATATGATGCTTAGACGCATCTCTATTAAGGACCATATTGACAGGTTTTTGAAGTCGTCTGCAAAAGCCTTTATAACAATGGAGTTGTGGGAATAGTGGAGGACTAATTACTTGCATGTAGGATTCTGAATGTACCCAAGGGCCAAATATGGCCACCGTAGCCAAACGGACACTATATCAGCGATGGTTCAAACTTGGAAAATCATTGGGATCCGCACTCATAGAAGCCCAAGAAGGAATATTAGACTGACTCCAATTTTCTTTCTAATAGTCCACGAAACTTTGATACTTTTGCACATAGTTAAATAACCGTAGCTAGTCAAGTTGCGTTGGAAGAGTTATCTTACAATTGAGTCACAGGCATAACAAAAAGAACGAAGTCCAGCGCAAGATTGACACCGCCGTTGAGGTCATATGGGTCACATTACCACACCAAAAAATTGAAATTTAGTTGAATTTCCAGTACGAGAGACAAAGAGAGGGAAGCCTGAACAACAGATATTACCCATATTATAGCCGAGAGTACGAACCTCCCCTAAGTGTTCTCCATCCGATTGTGTCCAGTTGTAACTGATTGGTGTGCATATCAAGGTGATAGCAAGCATGATCATCTGACCAACGCCACAAATAGTAGTCAGTGCCATCATGACGCAACAGAATACTAGAAACCATAGTTAGTCGAACATACGGAGATAGATCATAAGCACTGACAGCTTGGTAGCTGCAACAACGAAAGCATAAAGAAGCTCCTCGACGAAGAAGACCTTCATGATTGAGTTAGACACGCACAGTATAATATGCTGAAGGATTAACTGACCAGTAGGATTTGGGTTATATCCTCTGGAGGGAGTGAGTGCATGTCTTTGTCCAGGCCAAGACAGAAGTAGAAGAAGATACGCAATCAGTTAATTAGCATCGCTAGATCACGAAGGGAAGGAGAGCAAACCTAGCGCTGACGACTCTGGCTAATTTGCAAATTCCAGCCTATATAGGAATCTGGTAGTGCAGGATTGCTCAGCCCGAAGACCTTGGCAGATCCCACAGGATCGCGATACTTACGCCCAGCTCCAAATCACAACTCTGATAGGATGCCTTGTGTTTTGAAGGAATAAGCCAAGACCTTTGTCTTTGTGTCTTATCTATCTGTTCACTAGACCGATACAAAAAAAGCTATACTTAAAGCCGAGCAGGCCTCTTTCCGAATGACTAGAATCAGGCAGAAAAACACTCTCTACCCTCAGGAAAGTTAGCATTTGCAGATATTTATTTCTTGAAAAAATGCGTATTTTCTCCCTCGCGATTTTCGCCACTGCTGTGGCAGTGGCCGCGGCCGCCGGCCCTGTACAAGTTGGGAAGCGCCAGCTCTCTGAAGTAAGTTAGACTATCAACTTTTAATCCAGTCAGAATTGAGAAAACTAAGGATTCGTTCAGTGTGTCCTTAAATGCATGGATGACCTTGGCATTTATGACGGCCATGCCATCTCTCTATGCCGGCAAACGTGTGGCGAGCGTCCATAGACAATCTAAGCCATGTGAGTTTATCTGCCCTACACGTGGCCATGGACATAATCGCTTTGATGGCCATCCATTTGGGTCTAGAATATCCACTGACTTACTTGTTCACTCTCATTAGCGCCATCCTAGCATTGTCGTAAGAGATAAGCGGTGGTTTCTGATTCCAACTCTATGGGCCCCATTTTAGTCACAGGCGAACGCACGTTGGTTGTTGCGTGGTGTTTCTAGGAGAGCTGGGTCTGCTGGAAGTAGCAAGAGCGTCAGGCGGAAATGAAGGACTCAAATAAATACAACACAATGCCTGAGATCTACGAGGCATACTCAAACTGTAGGCTAAATCAAAGGTATATTTCCACGATTGACTCTTACCTAGATAGGGGTCATTTTTATGGATCCGTATACATGTCTCTTACAAATTATAAATCATGATGAACCGAGTACATCTTGATGCATGCTGTGAACAATTGATGGTATATATAGGGGACATGCAAATCATTGCATTACTAGCACTACTTTATTGTTTCCCCTTCACTCTTGTCTTTTTTTGCCACCACAAGCTCACTTGACTTATATGTAAATTCTTTATTGAGCTCCCAACCTTGGTTATAACGTGGTTTCCTTCTGAGCATTTGAAATAATCTTGTAAAGACCAGTGTTTATTCTCATATTCTTTGCTTATGTTTTGTAATTGTCTTATTTTGAACTGGATTCAAATATTAATTCCAGAGAGAGCAAGATGCCCTTTGCAGGAGGTTTACGGCCAAGATCTTGATGTCGCGAGTTAGAGCACACAGCAGGACACAAGATAACGGGAGTAAAAGATTTTCAGTCATTTGCGAGTCCAGATATGAAAGAGTATCTCTACATATAGAAATAGATGTGAGTAATGAATGGAACACTGCGTTATGAAGCACATGACAAGGCAGGTAGTTTTAGTTCTGAGTGAAGCTATTGTGATATATAAAAACAAGGTTTGTTGGCTTTGAACGTGGGAGGAAATAAATTCCAATGCAGAGAAATTTACCTAATAAATATTCAACAATGAGCCTGTCACGATGCACTTATTCGGTCATGGAATGTCATAAGAAGACGGCTTAACTATCTACGTTCTAGACTGCCTGTTGGGGCGCGTAGATATACGTGTCGGTAAAGTGGATCCGGGCGGTGGATCCGGATTGATAGATATTCCGGCACCGGTCGGATCCATCAAAGGCTGCGCGATGCCGTGAAGGCATCGCGACAGAGCCATAATCGAGTTAGAACAGCTTTTGGTCGATTTTCTGCTCATCTTGGGATAAACTCGGGATTTGACGGCTATCAGCGACCCATTGATTCTACTTCACTCAGATTTGGCAAAGACTCTCGAGGTTAAGCTCTACAGTCCTGTTTTGCTGTTGTTTCATGTTTACATCGGCTACTAATTTGTGTCGAGAACCAAGGTTTCATACGTGTGCTCCATCATCCATTCAAAACTACAGGGCGGTAGGGGATAAATTAATGCCCCCAATTATGTTACCCCCCACAGTTGACATCGTAATAGAGGGGGAATGTAATATTCATCAATAGAGAAGTTCTATAGTGGGGGAGGGGGTGGGGGGGTGAATATTAACTACTTATCAGGAAGGTTTTACTTCGGCCTGGTACCATCGTACAAACTGTTTCTCGTGATAGACTTCATAATTTGCGTGACCACGTAAGCTCTGATGAGCAGGCGGTCGCGTTTGGAGAGCTTTCCAATCAAATCCAATATGGCTTTGTTTGTTTTGGTTCTCTCCAAAATTGCTAATCTCGTTTGAGTTAGTCGTTTTTTGGTCATGTTGTGCCAAACTCAATTTTATATTTTGTTATAAGGATTGGATATCATTTTGACATCACTATTGGTAACATGAGCGCTGCCCTTCATTTTCATCAGGGTCTACTACTCCGAACTTATTATGGGTCTGAAGGGTATATTGTTACGTACAAATGCATGTCCTTTCATCTAAATACCCTTGGTGGCTTAGATTCGTTAGCGATTTTAGCTCATCTGTATGGCAATCTATCACGAGTACAAAGTTTACCTCCAGTTAAGACGCAGCGTTGACATACTGCAGGTACTCCCCTTAGTTGTCAATCGCTCTGATCATCTGAGCATACCTGTCAAAGCATGCAGCCCAGCTCAGAGCGCTGACTGCCTGTCAATACAGTTAACTCAATGGCTGCCAAGGCTATGATTTGCGTCCAGAACTGAGACGGAATACTTTAAAGCAGTTACCTAATTTCTCGGAGCGTTCCTACTTCGCATGAAGACGTCCTGGTATCCCTATCCCGAAACGGTGTCGGGCTGGTTCTAACTAATATACAATGGAAGAAACACTTTTGACCTATGATGACTATTTAATCGGCACCTCTGCCAAGCTAACACTCATGGGCGCTTCCGCAACCGGGCGGAGCACCTTCAATCGCTCCGTAGCGCGGTCGCAATCAGCCTAGTACCTCACTTGGGCTCAGTCATATCCCGTGGCCTACGTGACTCACTGACCTCTTTAACTAGGTTATCTCAATCCATGACTATCCCGCTACTTCGGGTTCCTCGGCTGAATTCCGTTTGCAAATGGTGTGCCACAGCCCTTTGTAGTTCATTGAATGTTCCCTTTGGTTGGAGAGTTTGTTCCTATTCCAGGGACCCCACTTGCCGGATAGTTTCATGTTTCCTTCACCCAACCACAAAATCAGATGAAGGCAAACTCAACACGCTCTCAGACCCCAGCCATGCTGGTAGCTACGGAACACTATGCTTGAAGCAGAGGCTTAGTCTTGCTGTCTTGGTTCCATGCTCTTTGGCGAATGAGACACGATCCAAGTAGCCAACATCCTCATCTTACCCCTCCCCGGAAATCCAAATCCAAGATTCTTCCAGTGCTCTATTCAGACAATTTGTCCTGCAAGCAACCTCACTCCGTACAGTGTATCATGACCACATATTGTCAATAACACCTCTCTGCGTCAGCGCGTATGATGTACATGCTGTACAAAGCAATAGCCAGATCGACAATACTGTCATTCCCCACACTGCCGCCTAATGCCGACACTTCCGACATTTCCGACACTGTGGATCATCATAGCATAGGCTCAGTCGTTGTGGGATCGCTGGTACCAATAACGATCATTTCTACACTGTTTGCCTTTGCGAGACTACTTGTCAAGGGATGGGTACAAAGACGGATCCAATACGACGACGGGATTCTACTTTTGGCAGTGGTATGAACCCCACAGACTCCTGTATTACATGCCACGGTTTTAATGATCCAAACTTGACAGGCATCGGGATGGACAACGACCGGTACCACGCTTAAGGCTGTCTCGATGGGACATGGCAAACATGTTGCCCTTCTCACAGATGCGCAAAAAGAGGAAGCATTGCGGTGGCAAGTGATGTCATTTGCCTTTGGAATTATTGCCCTGGCGCTTCCGAAGGTTGCCATAGTAGCCCTGGTCAATCGACTTCTTCAACCAAACCGACTTCATCGGTTTTTTCTCTGGATAATGGTGTTGTTGTGTGTCACTGGACTACTGGGAAATGTCATTGGGCTTTATGCGAAATGCCCGCAAGAGTCAGTGGTGCATATAACATTCACCAAGACGGCGTGTCTTGGCCCTGAAAGGGCGGTTGCGTATTCCATATCCACCAGTGGTAAGCCAATACTGGAAGTTGTAGCAATTCCGCCATTCAGCATTAACAACTCAAAATAGCTATCTCGGCTGCCACGAACGGGTACCTTGCTATTTACGCTGCATTGGCTGTTCGGAGGCTGAAAGTAACTCGAAGAAAACGACTTGCGTTGGCAATTTCCCTGGTATTAGGTGTTTTGTATGTCTGCATAGCACAGATTTTCCATGCTGTCGGAATTAACATGGACTGACATAACTTGACAGAGCACTACTTACAGCAATTTTCAAATGCACGAGACTGAAGTCTCTTGGCAGTCCTGATTTCACCTGTAAGTGCCCTTCCTTGCTAACACATCCCGATCAACTTGGCGCTTGCTTACACGGGTGTCCAGATGACTCCGCAGACCTTATCATTTGGACAAGGTAAGATGACATCGTTACCCTTGATGAAGCAAAACAGAAGTAACTTGGAGACTCCTGGCTTTCATCAACAAGTTCTCCGCAGTTTTGCTGACGATGTATCACAGTCTCGAGGCCAATGTTGTTATCATTGCGGCGTGCATCCCGGCACTCCAACCCCTGATCGATCATCACTTCCCGGACCATTTGTCAACTCTAGCTTCGTCCCCAAGCGTCACTGCTTCTCGAACATCAACCGGATCGCAAGGCAAAACTTGGTATGGATTCAGTGACGTGGAGGCGGGGAGGGGATTGAGTCTTTCGACTCAGGCACCCGAAATGATTATGGTCGAGAGGGAGTTCGAAATTGCGTACAGCAGGACTAACAGCGGTACGACACCTTGCACGTCCGACATTTCGATGTCAAGCATGCCGCCGGAAGAACGACTGCAGATCGTTAAAGACCACGCCCCAGGCGGACCAGTAACGACGACAGTGGTGGTGAACTTTTCAGCCCGCCCACCAAATCACGCGGCGTTCCCCGCGATTTAGATAACGTTTAGATAGTAATGAAAATCAGTGAGCAAATCCATCGAGAGAGAATTCCTAAACCAGCCCAGGAACATGTCTTGAGTTCGAGTTCCGAAACATGCAGCTGATCCGTAGACTTGGGATTGGGCGTTGCAAGCGCTTCTCTTTGTAGGAACAAATGGCACAAACACTGAAACCCATTAATGATCCTTCAACATTTGGAACATTTGGGGCAATGAATCGGCTGTCTCGAGTTACTATTTTGACCAACAAGACTGTCAATAAAGCAAAGAGTTATTGTTGTATCCACTCCGGATTGAACGACTAAACATCGCTGTACAGAATGACTCCTGGAGCATCTGCCTCACAAACTGTCCACGTCCAAGCTGCACTTGGCCAATAATTGAACCAGATGCACATCCGCTTGCCGTCCTCTGGCGAGAAATTCAACCCATCCCGTTGACGTTCTTCTTCAACTTTTGATGGCAAGGACCATGCCAGAAAATGATTCCTTTCCGTACCAGAGGGGAGTCCGCTGTCGAACTGGTAAGCATACTGGAACCAAGATTCATATCGCAGAAAGACTTACAAAGAATTGCCCAAAAGACCGTGACACAGGCAAGGTTCTTTTTTTAACAAGCCTTGCTGCCAAATGCACCTTCTGCCCAACGCAATTGCGTTTTCAATTTGCTCATTCATGTCTGGAAAAAACTGTCCAATCTGCAAAAGCGATGAAACGAAACCAGGCGCGCCGTGACAGAATTGCACGAGCTCATGGTAGCCATGATCAGTGTCTTCTGTGGGCCAGTTTCCGCTTTGGTGCTGTAAGCTCAGGAGCCTCTGCAGGGAATTCCGCACCATAGATTTCTTTGCCAACTTCGAATCTGTCAGAAGAAGCTGAGTCAAGATACCGACGTCACCGTGCACGGCACCAATGTAGCGTTTTCCACGCCAGGTCCAACCCGGCCCTGCGCCTAGAATCCTTTCTATAATTCGGGCTTTGGCAGTGGCCAGAAGAGAGGCTGTTTCTGGTCTCTGGCGAAACCGATCAGCTCGTTTTCATATGCAAAACGTACCATCAGGGCACTCACCGAAAGTTCTACAGCGCGAACCATATAGAGTAGTCCGGCGAACCCAAAAAGAAGCTCATAGGGATGGTTGTCTTCCTCAACAAGTCTTTCTAGCTCTTCGCGGAATTTTGGTGCTTCCGTTTCGTCTAATATGGTCTTCACAGCATAGTACCCCGCACTTTCACACGCGAGGCCGCACGGGGCCGAATTGCCTCCGGTGCGCTGAGGGGCCATGTAAGAATCAACCCAATGCTGAAGAGATTGCCCATGAATTCTCATGGCGGGATATACAGCGTGTATCCTAAGTAGCAAGTATGCTAGCGCCGTTGGACCACGGAAGAGACCACGACATTCGTCACGTGTATAGAGTTCTCGGGGAGGAGTCTCGACAAGGATGTGTACTAACGCTTCCTGCACCAGAGTCTCTGAATGCTCAGTGAATGGAAGGTAGTCTTGTGGAAGGCTAGGGCTACGGATAAAGCGTGGTTGTGCTGGCGTTAATTGCGGCATACTTGCTAGTATAGTGGTGTATTTTCGTCAATCAAGATATTATGTGTTAGCAAAAACTACTGATATCTCCAGTGTAGTGACATGGGTCGTAGTGGTGACGAATGAAGGGCTTCAGTGGTTTCTGTTATGTGTAAGAAAAGAAGCTACGGTGGGCTGCCTGGTTGAAAAGCAAGATAACCACCGCCGCGGATTATAGAATATGAGCTCCGCTATCGGCGGTAGCTGGCGTTCTCAGGCATTGCAACATAAGCAGTTCCACGCCGTATCGAGCTTCTTGACTGCGCTGGATCGTAGACTATCAAGTGCAGTATAAATTATCCAATTGCATAACTCATAATGATGTAACAGCCCAAACGGGATGATGACTAAGAGGAGCAGAGATCTGTAGCTGAGACCATGATACAAAAGCTCAATGGAAAAACTCAGTACATGAATTATAATATAAAAGCGAGTGACTAGGACACTCCGTAAGGTTCCAGTAGTCCATATTGGCAAGAGACATGGCTGATGGGATCCATGGAACACACCGGCGATTGAACTTGCATACGACAGTCATAGGCGAGTCATTGGTATCTAGGACGAGTGGTCGAGAAGGAATCCTGGACCACGAGCCAATATTGTAAGTCACGAGTCACCAGACAGCAAATGATCGTTCTCAGATGGAATCATGTTGTCCAAATCACTATACATGTGGGTTCGATAAAACATTAACGGCCAACATTCTCCAACGGGAATGGACTTCAACTCGTGGGACTCCGAGTAGAATCATCAATGATGAATCATACTCCCGCGTTGAACTTTCCATACTTCTCAACACTGTCGCAATCACACCTTTCATTTATCAACTGCCCAATAGAAAATCCGAGATCCCTTAGTCTTCATAGTTTTAGGCTCGTTGTGGCTCTTGCTAAGTGGGATGATGGTATCCAACCCCACACGAGCTATTCACACATTGTCTTCAGGACGATTTTAGTGTCCTCGCGCTTGACACGAGTAATTGGTTACGAAGGCCAGTATTGGCGAGGGCTACCACTAGCAACCAACAGAGTGACTAAACTCTTGGTGCGTCTCCTGCCACGAGTCCAAAGCTCAGCGAAGGCTAAGAGGCTTCGTGTGGATTTGATTGGCACGCCAGAAAATGTCGCTATTCAAGTCACCACCCCGTCAATACGAGCTGGGAACCAAATCCGAGCACAATCACATATCGGTCGCTTGTATTTCTAGGCAAAATCGGTCCTCTCTACGAGCGCCACCACCTTGTGGTCAAGAACCTGCAGGTCGAATCACATCAGCAGGTTTCGAACCCCACTCCCTGCTGCCCCTCGCCTGGTAAGAAAGCCCTTCCTGGTCTGACCGGCGTCCGACACTTGAATGGAAAGCCGTCCATCTACGGTCACATCGGACAAACAATTCGTCCACACCAAAAAGCTTGACAGTAGAGTACCTGCGGTAGCATCATGGCCAAGGATCAGCATCATCCACCCTTGATATCCCTGTCACTTTCCCCGCGCCTTTCCCCATACCGGCAAGCAGCGCCCGAACATCCCGGGTGTAATTGCGGGGAAACGAGGATGGGGAAAGACCGGCCGAGATATTGACTAATTGGAGAGCAAACGTCGACTGGAATTCCGGTGAGATGTGGGTGGTATCTCTCCAACTAGTGTCGTATTCGCGGTGATCTTCCCCATATGGCTTAACAGGACCATGATTTCATGCCGACAAGCTGTCGGCTAGAAGGGCACATGTCATAAGTACAATATGGTGAATTTTCCTGGATGCCGAGGTGGCTAGCTGAACTGTGAGGTCCAGCTGAGAGGGCAAAAAGGAGCTTAGCTAGTATTAAGTCTAGATCAAGGGTGAGGGAAAGCGATGTGACTCCTGGTTCCTATGACCCCTTTCCCGCTCTCACCCTCTGCTGCGTGTGGTTTTCCTTTGGCCTATCCAGCAAAATAATTAAGCTTGTTATCTTTTCCTCCTGCATGCCTCTGTACTTCCCGGAACGAATTGGATGCTCCATCTCCATGTCCACGAAGACCCCTTGAAGCGTTTCTCGTTTCACCATTTCCCGATCTATTCGAATCCCAGTCGCTCATCCACCTACTCCTGAGTACTAAACCAAGAAACATCATCATGAGGGACATCATTGGCGTCGTCGCCGGCGTAGCGCTGCTTCTGGGCGGTGCCGCGGCGGCAGACAACTGCGCAAGCGTGGCGGTTACCGCGATCCCGTCCTGCGCCCAGAGCTGTTTCATGGAGGGCGCTTCATTTGTGGGCTGCGACAGTCTCGACTTCTCTTGTCAATGTGGGAAAGAAGCGGCTCTTTATGCTGCCATTGAACCCTGTGTCGCGACGGGATGCCCGGCCGCATCATTCCAGGCCGTCATCAACGGAGCATCATCTGGTAGGCTTGCCTCGCCTCATCTGTTTTCCTTTTCATCTCATCGTAACACCCATTCTTCTTGGCCGTAGATTGACGACGATGCTTTGATTTACTTTCTAGAGGTGTAGCTAACCATCGTCAAGTATGCGGTTGTGCCGGAGCAGGTCAGATCGGCGGTCAAACTGTTTCTGGATCATTCGTCTCCGCCATATCGGGCTCTGGCATCGGATCATCACCGGCGACGGCGTCAGCAACGCCTTCGGGAAGTGGCGGATCACTTTCTCCTGCATCGGCTACGCAAGGAGGCAATGGCGGTGACGGATGGAACCCGCCCCCTACTACCACTCCGTTCTCGACTTCATCGCCAGTAAACGCTGCTGAGCGCCAATCAGAATCCAAGCTCGGACTCCTAGTCAGCATCGTCGGAATGGCGATAGCAGTTCCCATGTCATTTTGAGACGAGGACTTCACTATTGAATAACAAGAACGTTCCAGTTGAGAGGCCGCATATTGGATGAATATGAAAGCCATGGAACAGGAAAATCCGGTCAACTCTTCTACTCTCATTGCGGTACTTTTATATCATGACTTACAGACGGATATACCCAGAGGCCGGCGACCTACATACTCAGCCTGACTCTTCTTCTATTACCAACAACACTGAACAACCCGACCAGACTCTAGACACCATTGATGGACACAGCTAGCTTTAGCGAATCTCTCGGGAGTTTCAATCACAGGGTTACCATTGCCGGATCCCCTCGTGGGTAACTCGAGGGGCTTCTGGACATTGTATGCGCCTAGATCTCCACGCCAATCCTTTGTGGCTGTCTGGACATTTTTCGTCAGAGTTTAGGTTTTGATTGTTTCTTTAATCATAATTATAGAATATGCACGTCTTGGCCCTTTTGGTCGTCTTTAGAACGGGAGGGATACCTTTGCACCGGCGAAGGATGCCACATCCGAGAAGACGGAATGAGGACAATACCACTCCTTTGCAGTAATGAAAAATAATGCATTCTCTTATAAACACTATTTGCTTTTTTAATTCGCCTGCTCCATGTTTGCATAATGCAGCAGAAGTTCGCGATCCTGTCAAGACGGTGCGTAGTTTAATCCATGGAAAGGTTAAGCCAGCCTTTGAGCCATGAGATCGGCAGAATACCTGACTCCTGCAGTTTTTCCCTGCCATTCTTTCAGTACGAAGCACCTTTTGAGCTCAGGCATGCGTCTGCGTACGGACTTGGGCATCTACACACGGTTGCATCCCGACGGCTTGGTAAGTTTACTGCTTCGTTGAAATGCATATTATCCCTAGTTATGTAAATAAGATTGTAATAGTGGTAATGATGGGTTATTCCCGCTACCCTGAGCCGAGCGGGTTATGCCCGTGACCCCGGGCTAGATAGCCGATCTCAGGTCATGCAGAAGAACTCTGCGTTTCCCAAAGAGTTTCGGTAGCTGTGACGACAAAGTGGACCAACAGTTGCTACTATTGTCAACCGCACCAATATGCATCACGACAAGAGTCAATCTCAATCCTATGATACGGTATTCATCGATATCAATTGTAGATACTTGAGTCATGATGCTATGTCATTGATTTAGCAGTTCTTCCACTCATAAACCTAGGTATCTATATTGTCGCTCAAGAGTGTTCCTGTCAGAATATACTTTCAGCCTCACATGACTTGCACATGGGATTCCAAGGCGGCCGAGCGGCGTTCGGACGGCCACTGGTGGGCTCATTTACCTCGATCTACGACGACGATCAGCCGAGGCAATCGTGGAGCTTCGCGTTGTGTAGGACAGTGTGTGGCAAGTGTGTCTAGGATGTGCACGCTTCGCTGGTCGGATTCGCTGCCGGACCACGGGCCTGAAGCGAGTGCGATGCCCCATGCATACATAGTGTACCAAGACGAAAGAAGCGACGATCGCGTTTCGAAGTTTCGTCCCATATCGGCAAACAACCTCGGCAAGCTTATACTGAGACCTGAAATAGAAAACTCAAACGCAAGTGTCCTCGGCTCGCATTGGTTGAGGGGATTTAACGTTCCGAATCCGAAGGTGCGTAAAGACGGGTATGAATAGTTTAACGGTTTGCAGCACATGCCATTATATTAATGATGATTCGAATAAAGGCACGGTGCCCCGCGCGTGCTTTTTAGAGCTGTCAAATTGTTGTTTGCTTATCTTTACATCGAGTTTACCATAAGGACGCACACAAGCGGCATCCTCCTCATCTCTATCATGGGCTCAATCTCGAACACCGGTCCGTCTGCTGCCGACGAGACATTTGACTACATCATCGTGGGCGCAGGCCTTTCCGGCATCAACACAGCATACTATCTACAGACAAATGGGCCGCCAAATGCCACATACGCTATTATGGAAGGACGATCCCGCTTGGGAGGGACATGGGATCTATTTCGGTATCCCGGTATCCGATCCGACTCCGATATCTACACATTCGGGTTCTCATGGAATCCGTGGAAAGGCGATAAGCCACTAGCTGAAGGCCCTGATATCTGTTCGTACCTAGCGAAATCGGCATCGATGCATGGCATCGACAGACACATCCGGTACCAACACCGGGTCGTCTCCGCGGATTGGGACTCGGACACTTCCAGGTGGGTGCTGCAAGTCACGACGGGTGACGAGAAGATCAAGACATTTTCGGCTCGCTTCGTCGTTCTGGGCACCGGATATTACGACTACAAAGAACCCTTGGCTGCGGAGATACCCGGCATCCAGGACTTCAAGGGCCAAGTCATCCACCCCCAGTTCTGGCCGGAAGACCTTGACTATCGCAACAAGAACATTGTCATCGTCGGGAGCGGCGCCACCGCGATCACTTTGCTACCCAATATCGCCACAGATGCAGCCCATGTCACCATGCTCCAGAGAAGCCCGGGATACATTTTCAGCATGCCGTCCCGGAGGGGGCTGTTGTCCAAGTTCTTCATGTCTGTCTTGCCGCGAAGCTTCACGGCCCGATTTCTCCGGATACAGTATTTCATCTTGAGCACCCTCCTCTACTACTATTGCCGGCAGTTTCCAAAAGCCGCTCGACGACTCCTGGTGGGCGCCGCAAAGATGCAGCTTCCGCCAAACGTGCCTGTCGACCCGCACTTCAAACCCCGTTACAACCCCTGGGACCAGCGGCTGTGCGTGTGTCCCGACGCCGACTTCTACGCCGCCTTGCGGTCAGGGAAATCCGACGTGGTCACGGACGCCATCGACAGGGTGACGGACTCGGAGATCGTTCTGAAAGGCGGAGCGACCCTGAGGCCCGACATCATCATCACGGCGACGGGGCTGAGGATACGCTTCGCCGGCTCCATCTCGATATCCGTCGACGGCGTCCCCGTGGACGTGAGCACAAAGTACTCCTACAAGGCCTGCATGCTGCAGGATGTCCCAAACATGGCATATGTTTTTGGGTACGCTAACGCCTCCTGGACGTTGGGCGCTGAGGCGACCAGCTCGTACCTGGTCAGGTTGTGGCGAGCCATGGACGCGAAGGGGGTGAGATCGGTGACGCCGCAGCCCGAGAACCTCAATATGAAGCGGCACGTGGCGGTGAATCTCAACTCTACCTACTTGCAGAATGCTATGAAGGTGTTTCCCAGGTTCGGGACGGGTATCTGGGCACCGAGGACAAATTACCTCGTGGATTTGTGGAAAGCGACGATGGGCGACGTGTTTAGGGGATTGCAGGTGCGTTGAGGAACGAGGTGGAAAAGAGCTTCATGTAACCGAGATGATCTGGCATTGAGGTGGTAAACAGCTCAGCAGAGTATCATGAGCTTGGTCATTTCTCATTGTGTCGGGTTTTGGACTGTGTGCAATATCTCACTATCCTCTAAAAGCCGCATATTCGCCAATACTTCAACAGGGGTTTTATATGTCTATACATTTATTTTTAATCGTCGCTTATCGTTAGAAATGTGGCTCGTCTAATGATGCTAGTTGAATGATCATCTCACTCCGGCTGACCATCCGCCCAAACTACAATATTCGTCGGCGCGTCCTCGAGGCCTTTAAAAAAGTCCACGACGTCTTTATTGCTATACCGCATGCTGAAGTGCGTCAGGATGAAGGTCGTCTTCGGCCACTTTCGCACCACCTTCTCGAGGTCCTTCCACTTGGTGTGCTTCGTCTTCTCCGCCTGGGCGTCATGCTCGTCGTACAGAAAGCTGCACTCGGTGATGACGACGGGGATGCCCTGCCGCAGCCACTCGGGCTCGGCGGCGAGCGTCGACGCCGTGGTGTCGCCGAGAAAGGCGAAGACGGGCGTCGTAACGGGCGCCGTCAGCTCCACGCCCGACAGCCGGAGGCTTTTCAGCTCCGGGCCGGGCAGGGCGGTGTACTCGCGCCTCAACTTGTGAGTCGTCGTCGTAAAGACGTAGCCGACGCTCGGCACGTTGTGGTCGCACTGCACCACCATGGCGTTCATGCCCTTCAGCCTCCGCAGCGGGACGACGTCTCCGTGCCTAACGGCTGTCGTCTTGTGGGTTCCCAGAAACGCCCTCTCACCTTCTGTGCGCCCCTCGTCGTCCATGCCCATGCCGTCCAACGGCAGCCCTAGCGACTCTGCATCGTCGCTCGTGTACAGCCCGCCACGGTTGAGGAGCGTCTTGGCCAGGATGAAGTCTTCAAGGGCCTTCTTCATCTCAACGGGACAGAAGACGTCTGGCGGATCTTCCCGCTTGGTGAAGGCAGGAATGAGCAAGCAGTGGTCGGCATGGCCGTGCGTGATAAAGATGTGCTTGGGCCGTAGGTTGTTGACGACGAGGCCCGCGTCAAGGAGGAGGTTGAGCTGAGGTATGACGAATGAGGTATGCCATGCCGCTCGTGATTTTCCAGTCAGGACGTATTGATGGTACGGTTTCGGGAAGCGCCACTCGAGGACCTCAGACCGGCTTGACTGCGGCAGGGGCGTTGCAAAGGAGGCCATGACTGGTTGTCAACTTCCTTGAGATTTTGCAGGGGTGTGAGAGGTCTCAACCCGAGACGTAGATCTTAAGAGAAGAAATCCTATGCAATCCTGTGTGTAGTAGAGATCCAGGTCATTCAATATCAGGGATGTTTTCTGTTGGAAAGAAGCCAGCGTTGTGCGCTCGTTGGGAGAGACAACAGTCTTCCAGAGGAGCACGATGAGGCTGTATCGGTGGCAGTGATGATCGAGGGCTTTAACTTGAAGCCAACCAACAAAGAAGTTCCCAGGCAGACTGAAAGTAGAGACGTATTGAGGCTGGTGTCAGGCAGGGGTATAACTACAGAGAGCGTGGAGGTCAGACGGTGTGGCTGACGATGCTAACGGATGGAGCAGCAAAATGCAGTCACCGACTTCCGGCCGAAATTTTGCTGACATCATCTTGTCAATGCTTAACGCCGATTGTTCGGCCTTTGCATGCATGCATGCTGCAACCCCGTCTTTCACTTGCTGCTGGCGACTGACAAAACCGAAAGGTGCAGGGAAAGATTGAACTGATTGAAAAGCTGAAAAGACTCAAGACGCCAGACGCTCCTCAGGAGGGACCGTTCCACTTCCAGCCCCTAACATGCTCTTTTTTGCATGGTCGCACTCGCTCACTCAAAGCAAGGCGGAGACTGCTTGCCGTGATCGGTGTTAAATAGAAGCATCAGAGTGTTGGCACGAGAGCGAGAGAGCAAAACGAATCTAAACCTGAAGTGGTAATTTTACCCGGAATCTTCTGAGTGGCCAAGAGCGATACCGCTTGTCGGATGCTGGTCCCGGGCCGCCCCACTTTCACACCGTCTCCGGTGCCGGAATGTGGGTCCATATAGCCCCGCTTCTGATAAGATAGCCGGAGCAGCCAGAGCTTATCGTCTAGGTTTTCCCCATCTAGCCCCTCGTCTCGCCCTTCCCCCTCCCCACCTCACGCTCTTTGTCTGACCGTCTCCCCGCCATTGAGCAGATGCGATTCCTCGGGGATGCTACAGCCAGAATCCATGCTAATGCACGAGCTGTTCGAAACCATCCTTATCGGGTCCAACCGAACGAGACCGCGCCGAAGCTTCGATCATGCAGCCATACGACCTTGGATAACACCAAGCTCCTCTCGAGCTCTTATCAAAATCATATCCTGGGAGATGCCATCCCCCTGGTCCATCTCCACCTCCTCCAATGGATTTCCTGAACCCATTGGGGCATACGGGCACTCTTTTGGTCATTGCAATGACGCACCGTATGTCTTTGCCAGCTGCCTCGCCGAGCCGGTCGTCCATGGCGGATGAATCGGCGCACCGCATGAGATGGAGCGCGCCTATCTACGCGGTCTGGCTTAGAGGCCTTGTCGGGGATGCAAGCTTTATCTAGAGCTCGACAACCCCCAACCCCCAATTGCGAACTCTTGATGTTCCTCAGTTCTCATCTTCTTGATTTCCCAAAGCCGGTCACTTGTCCGGAAATCACACACCACAACCGTACATTCCCACAATGGCACCACCGCATCCCCTAGACCCCCTCTCGTCGGCCGAGATCGAAAAGGCCATTGCCGTCGTCACGAAGGCACACGGCGAGGTCTTCTTCAACGTCGTCTCCCTCCACGAGCCCCGCAAGGCCGAGTTGACCAGATGGCTCGCCTCACCCTCCACGACGCCCCTCCCGCGCCGCATTGCCGACATTGTGGTGATCGCCAAGGGCGGCAAGGTCTACGATGGTCTCGTTGATATCGCCTCTGGCGCAATCACCAAGTGGGAGCTCATGGAGGGTGTGCAGCCGATCGTGAGTTTCTCCACCCTCCCTTGCGAATTCCCGCGATCCCGCCGCCGGACGACTGACCAACCTCCCCTCCCAGATCACAATGGAAGAGCTGCAGATCGTCGAACACATCTGCCGCACCGACCCCAAGGTCATAGAGCAGTGCGAGATCTCCGGGATCCCCGCCTCCGACATGCACAAGGTCTACTGCGACCCGTGGACCATTGGCTACGACGAGCGCCACGGCAACACCGTCCGTCTCCAGCAGGCCCTCATGTACTACCGCCCGGACCCGGACACCTGCCAGTACCAGTACCCGCTCGACTTCTGCCCCATCTACGACGCCGACAAGCAGGCCATCGTCGCCATCGACGTGCCCACCGTCCGCCGCCCGCTCAGCAAGGCCGCGCCCATTGACTACCACCCGGCCGCCGTCGAGCGGCAGGGCGGCTACCGCCGCGACCTGAAGCCCATCAACATCACCCAGCCGCAGGGCGTCTCGTTCAAGATGTCCGGGCGCGAGATCGAGTGGCAGAACTGGCGCTTCCACATCGGCTTCAACTACCGCGAGGGCATCGTCCTCAGCAACATCACCTTCAACGACAAGGGCAACGTGCGGCCCGTCTTCTACCGCCTGTCGCTGGCCGAGATGGTCGTGCCCTACGGCAACCCGGAGCACCCCCACCAGCGCAAGCACGCCTTCGACCTGGGCGAGTACGGCGCCGGCTACATGACCAACAGCCTATCGCTGGGCTGCGACTGCAAGGGCGAGATCCACTACCTCGACGCCGATTTCCCGACCCGCGCCGGCGGCGTGCGCACCATCAAGAACGCCATCTGCATCCACGAGGAGGACAGCGGCATCCTCTTCAAGCACAGCGACTTCCGGGACGACTCGGTGATTGTCACGCGCGGCCGCAAGCTCGTCATCCAGCAGATCTTCACCGCCGCCAACTACGAATACGTCATCCAATGGGTCTTCCACGTACGTCTTCCCCCCCCCCCCTCTTTCACGCGAGACAGACGAGAACTAACATTAGTCCTCTTCTCCCTTTTCAGCAAGACGGAACAATCCAGCCAGAGGTGAAGCTGACGGGAATCCTAAACACTTACTCGATCAACCCCGGCGAGGACACAAAGGGCTGGGGCACGCAGGTGTACCCGGGCGTCAACGCGCACAACCACCAGCACCTCTTCTGCCTGCGCGTCGACGCCAACGTCGACGGGCCGCGCAACACCGTCTTCGCCGTCGACACCGTGGCGTCCGACGCGCCCGTCGGCTCCCCGGAGAACTTCTACGGCAACGCCTTCTACGCGCGCCGAACCAAGCTCGACACCACGGGCAAGGCCCGCACCGACTACGACGCCTCCACGAGCCGCACCTGGGAGATCGCCAACACGGACAAGCTGCACCCCTACAGCGGCAAGCCGGTGTCGTACAAGCTCGTCAGCAGGGAGGTGCCGGGCCTGCTACCCAAGGAGGGTTCCCTCGTGTGGAAGCGCGCCGGGTTCGCGAGGCATGCGGTCCACGTCACAAAGTGTAAGTCAACCTTGCGTCCCCCCCCCCCCCCCCCCCCGGCTACCTTTCTCTTTCCCTCATGCACAGTCCCAGGAGTCAAAGACAAATATACCTAACCGAAATGCCCCCATAGATCGCGACGACGAGCTCTGGCCCGCGGGCCGCCACGTCCCGCAGACCTCGGGCGAGCCCTCGCGCGGCCTCCCCGAGTGGATCGGCGACGGCTCCGAGAGCATCGAGCAGGAGGACATCGTCCTCTGGCACACCTTTGGCGTCACGCACATCCCGTCCCCGGAAGACTTCCCCGTGATGCCGAAGGAGGACATCACGCTGCTGCTGCGGCCGCGCAACTTCTTCGCCAGCAACCCCGTCCTCGACGTGCCGCCCAGCTACTGCAGCACCCCGAGCCAGGTCGCCGCCGGGAACAAGGGGGTCCTGGACGCGACCGACAGGGTCAGCAAGCTGGCCTTCTCCGAACCGGCGGGGGCGTGCTGCGCGCCGGAGAAGAGTAAGCTGTGAGCTGGCTGGTCCGGGTCCGTGAGGGAGAGGACTTTGGGGATAGTCCGTCTACAAACTAGGATGGGGGTGGGCAGGGTGGAATGCTGACGATGTGGATAAGTGAGAGAGAGAGTCATGGCGTTGTCTCATGTTTTACGAAAGTCGACAGTATTTAGATGATGCATGTACATATTTTGACGAGATGGCAGTTTCAACTTGTATGACATATAATACTTAAACCTATCGCGTGCGTTTTTTCTGGCACATCGTGCAACACCACCTCTGCATGGCCACGATTACGCTTTCCACCTGAATGAAGGGTGCTTCCAGTCCAATTCGCTCTCTTCTTCCTGAGACAGACCGCTCAGCTCCTCTTGCACATTCCTCTCCTCCCGCCTGCGGTTGTCCCGCTTCATCCAGATGAGGGCCAGCGTCGAGGTCAGCAGGACGACGCTGCACGTCGCCAAGTTCAGCCCATTGCCGATAGGGTAGTCCGGGCCGTCCCACGGCAAGAAGGACCACGTCGAGATCAGCCCGCCAATGTTGCCAAACATGACGTTCGTCCCGATTGCCGAGCTGCGCGCCGTGTCGGACACGACGTTGGCCGAGACCTGCGCGTTGGTGAGGGCACCGAGGGCGAAGACGGATGACCCGATGAGGAAGGTCGCGGCGTAGCGCACCGACAGGTCCTTGGAGGCGAGGAACATGATGTAGCCTACCATGGCCATGGGCGCCGACATGATGAAGAAGATTTGCCGACGGTCCATGCGCCAACTCAGCAGCGGTATGAGCACCGTGAAGACGGCGCCCGTGATGTACGGCGGAACGGTGAAGAGCTGCTGGCGCTCGACGGACGACGTCGAGTAGATGCCCTTGACGATCGTGGGCAGAAAGAAGGCGAGGCCCTGAACAGTGACGTTGTTGAGGAGAAAAACGAACGCAGTGGACAGCGTGACTGGGCAGAAGATACCCCGGAGGAGCTTGCGCGTGTCCATCTTATCGAGGACGTGGCTTTGGCCGACGCGTTCGGAGCGGACACGGGCCTCGGCGAGGTCTTTTTCGGCCTGCGTGAGCCAGCGGGCCGTGGCAGGACGGTCGGTGAGGGTGAAGAAGCCCATGAGGGCGATGCAGATGGTGATGATGCCTTCGATGGCGAATATCATGCGCCAGGAGTGCAGGCTGCCAAAGTGGTCGATACGGAGGATCGCGGAGGCGAGGAGGCCGCCAAAGGCACCGGCCAAAGGCGCCATGACGATATATAAGCTGAGGCGAAAGGCGAGCTCGGCGCGGCGGTACCAGCGGGACAGGTAGTATGCGATACCGGGCAGCATGGCGGCTTCAAAGATGCCCAGGAGGAAACGGACGCCCATGAGCTGCGGGACGGTGTGCACGAAGGCCGTGGCGATGGAACAGATACCGAACAGCAAGGTGGTCAAGGGCAGGAACCAGCCGGGCCCCATGAGCTTGCAGAGGATGTTGAGAGGGATTTCGAAGAGGATGTAGCTGATGTAGAATATGCTCAGGGTGGCGTTATAATCAAGACCCTTCATGCCGAGATCCTTCTCGAGACCGGCGATACGGGCATTGCCTGGGAGTGTTAGCTGGAAAGGCGGCCATAGGGTTTACCGAACAGGACGCACCGATGTTGGCCCGGTCGATGAAGCAGAAGAGGTATAGGAGGGCGACGGTGGGAACGATCATGAGGTCAA